ATTTGGGAGAAGCTTTTGACAGGTTGGTACGTGTTAGAGTAGAAGTCTGTGACTCTTACCTTCAAAAGGCAGGAGTGCAGAGAGGTCACTACCCAGAAGGAAGAAAGAAGAGGATCTGAGAGGGAGCGGCAGAGGGGGCCAGGTGTTTAAATCATGTCACTCAGTATTGTGGTAGGACGTCTGGCAGAAGAGCCTGAATAGCTGCTCGAAGTCTCACAGGCTGCCTTAGCCTTGGCATCCTCCGCTAGTGGAGCCGGGTGCGCTCTCTCACGGTAAGCAGACTTTTTAAGCAACATTTACAGGGATTAGATCTGGAAAACTCTGAGTTTGGTCTTGGCAGTCACCATTGTTTGCGCAGCACACGCACTGCATTCGGCATGATTTAAAGCAGAGGGAGGATGGGAGTAGGCTGGGCACGGATGTGCCATTATAAATAACGGACGTGAGCGTCCACAGATCTTGGGGTCCACATACAAGCATGAACGTGTGCAAAGTACAAATGTGGAGTATGAAGAATAATCATAAATCAAACCCCAAGGTAACCACCGCACAAGCAATATTCCTGGTACTTATGATGGTGTCTGTAAAAAATGTAGTCTTACTTGTGTTGCCTAATTTTGTAATATATATGGAAATACGCTGTTCATATATTTCTGCTTCACTTCTGTTATGATTTAGAATTTATCCATGTTCTTTAACCTAGGTGTTATTTGTTCACTTTATTGCTGCATAAAATTTACTAAAATTCATTTTTCAAGTGTTTTATTAATGAACAACTAGTTTCCTTCCAATTTTTCCAATTTGGGTTAGTATTATCAACACTGTTTTGAATGATTTCACTAATATGAACAATGCTTGTTTTTTTTCTTTTTTAAGTACCAGGGATCAAACTTGGGACTTTGCACTTGCCAGGTAGGCACTTACGCCACTCCCCACCAGCCCTTGAAGAATACAATTATACTTATTTGTATAATATGAGAGACGTGTGTTGGAGGTTTTCTAGGGAGTGTGTGTGTGTGTGTGTGCCCATGTGTGTTTCAAGATATATAACATTTATGACATATACCATATATTGCTGTTGGCCTAAAGGATGTACACATTTTAACTCTCTAAATAATACCAAACTGATTTTATATGTGATTAAATGGAAGTTTGTTATTTAATGTCAGAAATAAAAGAATGATGCCATCTACTACTATTTCCAATTTGATCATACTAAGGAAGTTCTGTTCTATTTTTATTCATGTGTATTTATAAAAATCTAAAAACTTTAGCTTTTAGTTTTGATGTGGATAAATTTTTTTTTTCTAGTACCGGGGATTGAACTAAGGACTTTGCATTTGCCAGGCAGGTACCTATGCCGCTGAGCTATATCCCCAGCAAATGTGGATAAGTTTTAGAAACTACTTTTAAAAATGATGAGAGCATTCAAGTTTTCAGTGACTTTTGTCAGTTTTGACATAATATATTTTCAACTCTTGAGTCTTGATTAATGGGGTCCTCTCTCTCTCTTTCTCTCTCTCTCTTTCTTCTCTCTCTTCTCTCTCTCTGTCTGTCTTCATCTCTATCTCTCTTTCTTTTTCTCCCCTGCAGGGATTTATGAATTTCAATATCCTTTTGTAAAATTCCAATTTCAGCTTTTCTATTTTTCTAAATTATATATAATATTTTCATATTTCAGTAATTTTTTTCTGTTTTTGAACTAGCCTGTCTGTTCTGAATTTATTGTTTTTGGGTTTTTTTTTCTTTTCCAACTTGTTGGCATATGGAAATTTGATTTTTAGTTTTCTTCTTTTCCAACATGTAAGTTAAGTGAGATAATTATTCTTCCGCATGCATCCCACTAATTTAGATACTTAGCACTTTTGTTATTGTTTAGGTAAAATTATTTTCTAACATCCATTCTTCCTTAGCTCTTGCTTTATTTAGATGTATAATTCCTTTTTTCCCTTTTCTTTCTTTCTTTCTTTCTTTCTTTCTTTCTTTCTTTCTTTCTTTTTTGGTGGAACTCAGGATTGAGCTCAGGCCCTTGCACTTGCCAGGCAAATGCTTATTCTACTGAGCTATCTCCCCAGCCCCTAGATGTATAATTCTTAATTTCTATGAGATATTCTATGAGGATTTCTATGAGATGTACTTGAATTTTTCTCCTCTTTTCTAGTTGTTAGTTTCTAGTTTACATTGTCATAAGATGTATCCAAGTCAGTAAGATTTCAGTCCTTCCAGATTTGCTTGCACTTATCTTACTTGCTCACCCAATGTGCAATAAACTTGTTAACTGTATCGCACATATATGTGAAGTCTTGCTGCACTTGTAAGTACTTGAAGCAGAAAGCTCTATAGATTTGTTAGGTTAGACTGTACTGTGGTTTTCACAATCACAGTCAATACTTCATCTACTTATTCTTTTAATTATTGAAAAAAAAATTAAAATTCTCACACAAGGTTTTGGTTTTTTGTACTTGTCCTTGAAATTGTATCAGCTTTTCCAATACATATCTTAAGACCATACTACTAAAGATGAAAATGAATTTAAAATGGAAACTTCTTGATTATTAGGTGATCTTTTCTATGCTAACATTATTTGAGCTAAATTAAATTTGGCATAATCTTAATATACCTATGCAGCACTCTTTTAGTTAAGATTTGATTAGTGTACTCCTTTCTATGTTTTTCCAGTATTTAAAATGAAATATATGTGTAATATATTTTTCCAGTACTGCAAACTGAATATGTGTGAAATATATTTTATCCTAATACTGGGAATTGAACCCAGAGTCTTCACAGTGAACTATATCCTTAGTCCTTATCCTTTTTATTTTGAGACAGGGTCTTGTTAAGTTGCTCAATTACCCAGGCTGGGCTTGAACTTCTGATCCTTTGACCTCAACCTTCCTGAATGCTAGGGTGACAGATTTATTCTCTCTCTCTCTCTCTCTCTCTCTCTCTCTCTCTCTCTCTCTCTCATTTTAAATTAAGGGCATTTAGTCCATTACTATTTTAATGGACTTAAACATGCTATATTTTGTTTTTTTCCTCTGCTATCCCATGTTTCATTTTTTTCTCTGTTACTTCCTTGGCTTGAATTATCTAAGTATTTTTCACTTTATTTATTTTCTCAATGTGTAGTCTCTATAAAAATTTTATACCGTTTCTCTTTATTTAGTGGTTTTCTCAAATTGCATACATATTATTACATTGATATCTAACATTAATCAGTACTTAACCCTACACAAATTCAGCACACACACACACGTTACTGTATGTTTGTTAATAACACACGCACACTATTGTGTGTTTGTTAAGAGACAGGAAAATATCTCTAAATATTTCTCTTTCAGGATAGATAAGAGTAGGAAGGAATTTTGTGATCAGGATGAAGTAGAACTGAAAAATAAAAAAGATCGGAAGAAAAGAGACAGGAAAATTGCAGCTTTAAGTTTGTACTTTTATCATCTTGTCCTCCTCATCCTTGGACGCCTGCCCTCCCTTGTGAGTCTGCGCTCCTTTGACTCTGCTTAATAAATGTACCTATCCTCCCAGCGATGTGTCCTGAAATGCTTTTGCATGACAAACGTGGAGGGATCTACTCGATAGAGAAAGTGAGTTGAGGTCCCCATATGTCCTTGGAGGGACTTCCTCGGGCTACAGTCAGTGGCAAAGAGCAGTAACTAGCGCAGCCAGATCGGCTACAGTGAGGATGTAATGCTTCACAGATTGGCAGCAACATGGAAGTTAGGAGGCTGACTTCTCTGGATCAGCCTTTGGGACGAGTTAGTGTAGATTCAAGCTGCTTTCTAAACGCTCCAGTTCATTTGGAGTCCTCAGGAGAGCACTGTCACCACAGAATATACTGCAAGAATGACTTTCGCTGGGTAGATTAACACATCGTGCACATTCACACACTTGAAAAGTTATGTAAAAATGTCTTGCTCCTAGATTCAAGAACCTACTGGCCCCACATTCTTATTTACAATTTGAATTTCTAAAAGATATATTTATTAATTTAACTCATATACCTTCACACCTGTCTAAGAATACCTAGCTTCCTCCTGCTGAGTGCTTTGTCTCATGCCTAGTTTTCTTATTCAGAAATCTTCCATCATTTCTGAAAGAGGAGGGACCACCACGTGTCAAACAGCTTGCCTGCCCACCCCACCGGCCTTAGGGTTAGGGTTTCTTCAGTCCTGAAACGATTAGAAATACTCATTTATTTTTCACGCGCCCCTGGAATGTGAGCTGAGTGACAGGATGAACACTGCCCGGGTGCCCTGCTGTCAGGCACACAGTAGACATCCAGTAAATGTTTACTGAACGAAGTTACACTCTGGAATTCTACCCTGCTGTGCAGAAACAGAGAAACAGGGTTGGAAGGGGCCCTGACTGTGAGGAAGGAAGGGGCCTTTTGGGATAAAGAAACCAACATCAGCTCAAGAAAAGCCTTGCTCGAGGTGAGACAGTACAGGGAAGCCGGCTGCAGGAACAGCTGAGCCGGGGCATCTCCCAGCCAGGCTCCAGGTTGGGTCCAGCCGCTGCAAGGCCAGACCTTGAGAGGAAGCCCATAGTCTGCAGGATTGCCCGCCGCTGAAGCTGGCTCGGGGCAGAGGCTCGCGGTCCAGCGTGGGGCCCAACGCGACTGGCGGAGCGCAAGGCGAGCCCGGGAGCACAGTTGAGCTCCCCCGCCCAGCGCTCTAGCCGGACCAGCTACAGCGAGCACGGGCTTTAAAGTTCAGCTCGGACGAAAAAGACAAGAGCTCGGTTTCCGGGGACGATTCAGGCGGCGCTCTCGCCCCGCCCCTTCCGGTTTGCGGGCGTCTGCGGGCCCCACGTGTGTTCGGGCTGGACTGCGCGCCTGAGAGCCGTCGCTCCCAGTCGCGGGCTTGCGGGGTCTGGGGCGCGGGGTCCTCGGCGGCCTCTGGGACGGCACCATGGTAGGTACGGCACCGTCCCACCTCCGCGGTCCTGGGCTGGGTCCGCGGGGCTGCGCTGGGGCCGGAGGCTGGGAGGTCTGGGAGCCCGGGCGGAGCGGGTCCCGTCCCCGCGTCCCCGCGTCCCCGCGTCCCCGCGTCCCCTGCGAGCCGGGCCCAAGCTCGGGGCGGTCGGCCCGCGTGGCATCGAGGGACGAGCGCAGGGATTCGCAGCGTAGGAGAAGGCAGGTCGTTGGGAGACTAAAACGCGAGGCAGCCTCGGAAAGCCTTGAAGCCGCGACTGTGCGGGGGAGCGTCGGTGAGCTGGACGGTGAAGTGCTGTCCGAAGCGCCGCCTCTCGCTGCCTGCCTGCCGGGCGCTTGGGAGGTTTGCTTAGCGCGGTGCTCTGACCCTGGCTTGTGAGGCCGTGCTTCTTCTCGAGGTGAAGTACCTCGGGAGTCCTCTGGGCTGATTTGCGAGCGATATCTAAGAAATTCCAGGCTTTTTAAAATTCAGTGTTAACCTTCTGTGTGGTGGCATGGTCTTGCCAAAGGGTTGCCTTAAACAGGAGGAGTTTGAACAAAGTTTAAGCCAAGAAGAGTCACTTTCTGTCTCCCACCTGCTTATTTTTAGTGCTAGGCCAACGTGACGGAAGACTTTCCTGTAGGAGCAGTTAATTTAAAGAGAAGTAAGCTCATCTTGTCAGGCTAGACTTGAGCTAGAGTTGTACTGCTTCATAGGCTAACATTTTGTTGAGAGGGTTTTATTTTACTTCAGTTTCTCCCTATTGAAACATTTTTTAAAATTTTCATGAAAATGTTTTGATGTATGGTCTTACTGTACATATTTGTGTTTCATAAATAAATTATAAGGAATCGTAAGTACTTTTTAAGTCAGGATGTAAGTCCAATTTCTTTGTAATTTCTTTGTGCTAAACCTTGAAAGTTCTTTAGCTGTAATCTTGTAGAGCTCTGAGGACGTTTTCACACTCAAAGCATGCCAAGATATTTTTTTTAGTGAAAGGTTTTTTAAAAGTCCTTAACGGTACTTTTTTAGATGTAGATGTTTTGCTGAAACCTCATGACTGAGTCACTTCATTGTTAAGTTTTTCTTTTTCTAAGGGTTTGTGAACTTTCTTCATTGTTTGAAACCATTTTTCTTGTTAGGATCTGTAGGATCAAGGTCACATTTTCAAAGAGTGTACCTCTGCTTTGATTTCTAGGCCTTGCATTCCTGTGTAACAAGTTACCATAAAATTGAGTGCCTTAAAAGAGCAGCCTGTGGCATCGCAGCTCTGTGAGTCCTGAGCCAAATGCTGCCTGCCACGCTCTGTCAAGGTTTCTCAGTCCAGCTATATCCGTAGCTCCAGAGTACGCATGGGAAGGACCCATTTCCAAGTTCACTCATATGGTTCTTGGTCATATTTAGCTTTTCCTGGACAGCTGGACCCAGAGCCTCAGTTCTTTATTGAGTGTTGGCTGGAAACTGGCTCGAATATTCATCCCATGGGTTTCTCCAGAGGGCAGCTTGCTACATGACGCCTGGTTTCCATCAGAGAAACCAGGTGAGAAAGAGAGAGGAAGGGAGGGAGGTGGAAATCCGGCTTGCACACCAAATTTTGGAATTGACATTATCCAGTGTCATTCATTGAGAGTGAGTTAGTAGTTTGGTCTCACACTTGGAAGAAATTAGGCAAGGGTGTGAGTATCCGGCGTTGGGCTTCCTTGGGTGCCATCTTAGTGGCATTTTACCCCACGTTGCAAAAGGTTTTTTTACTTGATTTCTCTTAATAGACTGTGTTTAAAGAATTCTTAGCCCACTTCCCATTTGTCCCTTTACCCCCACACCTTGTGTGCAGGAATACAAAACAATGTATCTACTATGTTTTTATGCTTTCCTTTTATGCTTTGTTGTCAGCCAACTTCTAGTTTAACCTTGAGCTTCAGACTTAGACATCACTTCTCTATTAGATTTATCAAGTAGTGAGCAGAGTATTTAATGAATACTTTTGAAGGAATGCATGTGTGAATGTGGAATGATGGCCATTTTAGTTCTGCCCAGAGAGCTTTAAAAAGGATGTGACTTTGAGCTGCATTGTGTCAGTGGACAACTGAGGGAAAGAATTCCTAAAAAACGGCAGTCTCAGAAAGTTAAGAGCTGGGTGTAGTAACCCACACTTGTAATCCCAGCACTCAAGAGGCTGAGGCAGGACGATCACTGAGTTCAAAGCTAACCAAGGATACCTAGTGAGTTTGAGGTGAGCCTGAACTGCATAGGGAAACTGCATATCAAAGAAAATAAGATCAAAAGTTAGGAATGGCATGCTGTATTCTGAATTTCAGTAAGAAGAGGTGGAGAATCTTTTGTGAAAGGATATGAGATACAACACTGGAGAAGCAAGTTGGAGGTAAATTGATTCTCTATTGAAGATTTAAAAGCTAGCAGAACTCTTAGCAGAAAGGGATTTTATGGGATTAATGTTACAGGAAGAGACTCCATGATTTTGGGGAAAGGACTAGGAAGGAGAACGCAGTGGACATACTGAGCACAAGGATTAAATTAATGTAAATGGCAGTAATTTTCAAGAGACAATCCTATGGACACTTGACTTTTTTGATGAATATATATATATATATATATTTTTTGTGGAACCAGGGATTGAACTCAGAACCTTGTGCCTGCCAGGGAAGTGCTTATTCCACTAAACCATCTCCCCAGCCCCAGGATTAGGTATATTAGAGGCTGCCAGCTGTCCCCTACTGTATTTCTTTTCTTCTATAGCAGTGGGTTTCCTTTTTCAGAGATGATTATTGTATCTATTCATTTCTTTATAAATACTGTGACTTAGCTTTGGTCAGTGGGAGGTGAGCAAAAGAATCTGCAACTTCCCAGATACCATTCTTCTTGAAGGGTGGGAGTTTGCTTTCCAGTACTTTCTTTTCTGTTCTCACAGACTGGAGGGTAGGCCCAGTATTAGGCCATATTGTACTATGTTGCAGGCTGTCTCCCAGCAAGATAGAAGGACCTTGGATCCATAAGGACCTTGACAAACTGTCTCCAGCTTCTACTTGTTACGGAAGAGAACTAAACTTTATCTAGGTTCAGTTGTTATTACCTGAGATTTCCATTACAGAGAGCAGTAGCTGATTCTTAAATAAAATGGGTGGGATAAGGTAGATACTTGTGAAGAAATTTTAAAAAAGAAAAAAATTGAGATACCTAATTTGGACTTGGTTCCCTGCTTTAAGACTTACGTGGGAGAATATTTTATCCCTCTTTAGATTTGCTAATTTCGAGATACATTCTATTATTTCTTTCGATCCTAAATTCCAAGGATAATGAGCCCAACTCTGACCTTGCTTATTGACTGCCCATTGTCTTCCATGTGCAACTTCTGTAGTTAGACTCTCAGCAGTAACTAATTTTCCACTTGAAGGAAATTTACAGTTGAAGAGCTGCATTTGTTAACTGTCCATGTCTTATGTTAGTATTTCTGGCTCACTGTATTATTGCTCTTAAAATATTTATAAAAGCAATTTTTTAAGTAGTCATTTAATGTATCTGATTATATATGTTGTATTTTAGCCTAAGGCACCAAAAGGAAAAAGCACAGGACGAGAAAAAAAAATTGTCCATCCATACAGTAGAAAAGCGGGTCAGATTACAAGAGAGGCCCACAAACAAGAAAAAAAGGAAAAGTGAGTATCTTTTTGCCACTTGCATTATATACTGATAGAAATCCCTTGTGCACATTTATCCTTCAAACAAGTATTTCTGTTTTTTTCTCTTCCTTTAGCAAGTATTAGATGAGTATGTTCTCTAATAAGGAAAAACTGACTGACTCTACTTTTATAGAGCTTAAACCAGATGAGTAAATTTAAATGTGATGAGTACAGTGAAACAAAATTAGGATTATGGGATGCGGAGAGTGGGAGGGTTCTACTAGAATTGTCTTGGGAGGCACCTCAGGAAGTTACAGAGGGCTGAGAGATGGTAGGGATGCTGCTGTGCTGTCATGTGCTGGACCTACATGGTGCCTGTGCTCTGTAGATGATAAGGGACAACAGGAGATTTTGGGTCTCCCGTTCAGAGGGTGAGTTAAGGATGTCAAAAATTAGGGAGCTGTTGGCACCTGTGTGCTATTTCAGACTTCACCTAATGAGTACCACAGGAAGGGGAAGGCAGCCGAGGAGTTCCAAAGGCCTCAACAGGCAGAAATTAGAAAGGAAGAGGATCCACAAGTGAGATTCCTTTGGTTCATGCTTTTTGCTTGTGATGTTGGGCTTAGAACGTATGTTTTCAGGTATATTCGGAGTTTTATATGCTCATTATGGAAACAGCATTATAGAAGCATTATGGAAGAAAAAACAAGCGAGAATAACAAGCTTGTCTCATATAATCTGCTCTAAAAAAGTTCTGTTACTGGCTTCTGTTTCAGTAGAAAGGAGCTGATAGTAATTCTCCTGTTTGGGCAGTATTCTAAACCAGCAGGGCTTCCCTTTTTTTCTCAGCTATTTTTAAAGAAGCCAGCATCATAACAGAAGTCATGATATCAGAACCAAACACAGTTTTAGTTGTTTGTAGCATATTTTATGGCTGTGAAACTGTGGGTTTAGTCCTATATTAGCAGTCAGTGTTTTGAGCGGCAGCATCTGCGATCATGAATTATACTTTAAATGGCAGTGTGGTCATGAATAGCATCTTAATATGCTGTTGACCGACTCCCTGCTATAGACCAGTACTTCCAGTAAGACAGAAATGCTGCATTGCATGTTTTCAAAAGACATTTGGTGACAGCACACCCAGACAGTTGGAACAGCTGCTCGTAAGATAATACAAAAGGTAGCAGTAGGACTTAATTTGAACTTCAGATAATGTTGCTTTTTAGAAATAAACAGCAGTTGATGCGTGTTATTGATTCATAAGAAATTATACCATACTTTGTTAGCTTAGAACCAAAGCAGTTTCTGGCTCTGAAATCCTAGGAGCACTTAACTAGGTGCCTCAGGCTCACAATCTCCCCAGGCTGTGCTCTGTGTATTGCCTGAGGTTGCATCCACTGCAGAACTTGAGACAGATAAGAGATAGGCTTTGCTCTCTTAGCTGCTAGCAGACTTCAGGTCTGGCTGTTAGACTTTGTTGAGGCAGGCAGGTGGATGGTGGGGTTTTGTTCAGTGCTGTGTTCCCAAGGCCTAGCCTGAACTCTGGTGAAGATTAGGTGTCCATTGATCTCTTGAATTAACAGATTTATAGAATATGAACAGTAGGCATATTACCTACACTGCTTTTGAAAATAAAAAGATTATTTTCTGTGTTGTAATTCTTCTCAAATTCATAAAAAGTAATCATACTTTGCATTTTGAAGGCTAAAAGATGACAGTAGTGCATTTTGGTTGGTAACATTTTATTTTCAAGAGCATTTATTACTCTTTTGTGCATAAATTCTGCATATTGCAGAACCTATATTTATAATCTAATCAGGATTCCATTTGAATTTTCAAAGCTGGTTTGTTCTATGAGCTTCTTTCATCATTGAAGAACTAAAAATGTATTGTAATAACATTTTGTTCCAGTGATTTGAAAGAAAAGCAAGTGTTCCATATATTTGTGCTTTTACAGTTAATTTTATAAGTGTAAAAGAATGATCTTTGGATTTAAATTCTTTGGGGAGTTTTTTCCTTTTGTTTTTTTTTTGACAGATTTCTAAAACTTGCTTTGGGAATTTGCTAACATACATACAAATTTTCTTCCAAGATTGAAGAATGAAAAGGCCTTACGTCTCAACCTCATTGGTAAGTAGGTTTGCTTATTTAAAATTCTGATGTAGTAAATTATTACCTTCTACCAAAATTTTTTTGGGGGTCTCCTAGTGAAATATTCTTTAATATCACACTTGATTAAAAACCAAATGAAGCAAATCATTAAACTTTGAGATGAAATAATGTTAAGGATTCCTAGTGTTGAGGCGGAGATTCAAAAGTAGTGACTGTGAGGTCTTAGTGAGCTAAAGCTGCTTGAAGCTGCTTCTCACATCTTTCACTAGGTAAGAATGCAATGATTCTAAGCAGGGTATGTCTATAATGGCGAGGGCCATTTTTTAACCTGTATTATTGAGAAACTTAACTGAAAATCACCCCCATGGTCAGCTTTGCTCACAGCTGCATGGTCTTTGCTATTAATAACTTGTGTAGTATCTGCCAGCGATCTTATGCTTAATGTATTTAATGTTGTGGCCCTGGGTAGATTACTTGGAGTTCACACAGAGGTTTCCGCTTCACAAGGTGGTACATTTTGGTTGTGTTTTAAGCACACTGATGCTGAGAATTATGAGTCTTTGGTTAGAGGGTGACTTACAGTGCTAAAATATTTTGGTCCTTGTTTATAGGTGAAAAACTGCAATGGTTTCAAAATCAGCTGGATCCCCAAAAACTGAGATACTCAAAAAAGGATGCTTGTCAATTAATTGAAAGGTAAACAGTGGGTATATGATGAGAAAGGACCAGAAAGGGTAGCTTTTCATCCTGGTTCTTGGGAGATATTTAAAGCTCTACTCTGTATTTGTAGAAAAGCAAATGTGCTTTCTTTTCGGAAAGACTGGGGGTTCATATTCTGGCTTGACCTGTGTAGTAGGTTTGTAATCTTTCTGCACCTGAGTGTGGTGGTTATCTCAATTTTTGAGATCAGGAAAGATTTCCTGCCGAAGTGTCATTTACCTTGTCATGCCTAGGTAGGGTTGGTTAGCAGATCTGGGTGAGGTCATTTGAAGAGTCACTGGCATGAGAAAAGTGTGTGAAAGGCTCAGAGATGAGAGCGAAGGTGACACACCCAGTGACCCACCAAACGTTTACATGGCTGAATAGCAAGTGCAGGGAGGACACTGTGGCAGGTATAGTAATTGACAACTGGCTGGTGGACGATCGTCTGTATCAGTGTAAAAGTTTGGATTCTACCCTCCCTGGACATCAGGTGGGAGAGACTTTAATAGTAGGCACCTAAGGTGAGCATATTTAAACTTCAGGAAGGTCACAGTTTTGAGAATGAGGAAAATGCACTGAGAAGGAACCAGGGCCCTGGCCAGGAGGCTTGGGAGGCTCTGCTAGCAGCCAGGAAAAAGAGAGGAGCTGTGTGAAGAGAAATACAGTTTCTTTTTTTACTGAACACTTAAATGTAGAGTACAGGGGAGAGGGCAGTCAAGGAGCACGCCTGTGAACCTCGCATGTCAGTTAGATAAATGGTCATATTTCCCAGGTAGGCAGCATAAAAGGTGGAGCAGGTTGGTGAAGCCGACAGGGGATGGAGAGAAGCGGTAGATGGCTGAAGATTAAGGTTCTCAGGTGAGCAGATAGCAGCTGTGGGGCCACTGGGTTAAAATAGTGGTTAGGTTATCAGGGGAAGGTGGTAAGTGGTCTGAGGTCATGGGGAACCCTACAAATAGAAAAGTTACAGAACCAAGGTGAACTGGTAAGTTGTGACTTCAATCATTTTCATACATTTCAGGTACTTAAATCGGTTCAGCAGTGAGCTGGAGCAGATCGAGTTACAAAACAGCATCAAGGACAGGCAGGGAAGGCGACACCATGCCCGGGAGACCATCATCAAGCAGACGATGGAGCGTGAGCGGCAGCAGTACTATGGCTATGGCTTTGGTGTGTGTTCTCTGTGGTGCTTTTTTCTGTCCTAAATACACAGTAGTACTGAATTTGTAATTCATATCAAAGGTTTAATTTCCCTCTATTGATTTAGCTTAATTCTTTTCCTTTCATTTCCTTTCCTAAGAGTCATATCTCCCCCCATGTTCCCTAAAAAACTATTTTGAAGCAGTGACGTCATTTTCTCATGTCTATTATAAGTTTCACTTTTCAGTGGGTACCTAATTTGCTTTCTTATAGAGTTGTTAATACTGATCTTTAACCACATCTCTGTTTCTTTAGAGTAGACACTGTGTTCTTGTCATTTGTGTAATTCTTGTTCTACTTCATTACACTTGCAGTCATTCCTGAAAAACTTTAGAAATCAAGATTATTCTCTTAGCATTGTAGCTTGTTAAATTAATTCCTTAAAATAAGTGTATTACAATTTGGCAGTATCACCTGATGAAAGCCACTTACTAGGAAAGGACACCAAGACATAGCCATGAACTGGTAGCTACCCAAACCATGTGAACTGCAAGTAGCGTTTGATTAGTTTACTAGTTGTCATTAAAAAGAAAGCAGCCTGGTGCTTTTAACTGAAAACTGCAGATTTCTTGTGTCCTTTAAAAAAGATGACCCAGCCTCATAATGTCCTGTATCCTCGAGAATGTCCTGGTCCAGCTCCTTCCTTCATTCACATGTCTAGCCTGGTCCCTGTGGGCATTTGTGTCATGGAGAAAATAAATTAATATTTAGAAGCGAAACTAAAATTTTTCAAGTTTTATTAAAAGCAGGGTGAAAGTGTTGGGCCTAATGAAAATCTGTGGTTGTACTAAGAAACTCCAAAGTGGATGGCAGTTGCTTTTCATTCTTAAGAAGTTTATTAACTGTAAAAGCAACCGAGAGCTTTCTAAATAAGTGATGGAAAGTTTTATAACAAAATCTAAGTCCTGCTTTCTTCAAAATGAGAGCAAAATATAGTATACCTACTTCTGAGTGGTTCAAAAGTTTAGTGATATTTAACGTATGAAAGAGCCCGACACAGTCCATAACAGGAGAGGGTGACAGGAAAGCTTCAACCAATTCTGTGTCCTTGTTCACCTGTTTTACCTTCTAAGAGTATAAATTTGAGTTTATTTATTTCCTTGTATTTACTTACTCTGAACCCTTTTAGTTAGACTTCGTCTCCACCACTCACCGAAAGTCCTTGGCCCTGATGACCTTTAGTTGCTAAGCAAGCAGTCACCCCACTGGGCACGAACTCTCAGTCACCCCTTTACAGGATTTGGTGCAGACACCAACTCAGCTGCCCTTTGCAGTTCAGTTTGGTGTGGAGAAGCCTGACCGCTGTCCACCTGCCCCAAATGAGGGCAGTTTTGGAAGCTGGACCTTTGCTCAGTTGCTTTCCTCTTTGCTGATGCAGAGTGCCTCACATGCACAGTTTCAAGGACAGGTATGGTTTTTGCCCTCAGCTTTCAGTGGTTTCAGTCTGTAGTGTGCTGGCTCCGAGGCAGGAAGGGGCTGACATGGGAAAGCTGCTCACCTCATGGCAGCCAGAAAGCAAAGAGCAGTGAGAGGAGCTGGCGAGAGATGCTCGCTTGTAGGTGCTGCCCCTCCTATCAGCAGATGAGACATTCCTAATCCAATCACCTCGGAACACATGAGATTTGGGGGGCCATTTTAGATCTAAATCGTAACATCTTCCTTTTGCTAAACTGAAGTGGCCTACTTCCCTATCCTTGAGGGTGTTTTTTCTATTTATACCCACCCATAAGTTAATCATACTCAATCCCATAGTTTTAAAAACAGCTAACAGAAAAAAAATCCTTTACAAACAGCTGACAGTGTCCACCTCAACTTGTCAGTCTGAACTTGTCCCTAGAGTTTCAGACTTGACTTATCAAACTTGAGTTTCTCAAACCCTCTATGTCAGAAAGCAAAACTGCTTTTCTCCTAAAACTTGCTCCTCTCACCTAATTTCCTTCCATGGAACCAGCACTTGCACTTTTGCTCAGATTTGAAGCCCTGGAGTTGCTTTCATAACCACATCCAGCCCATTGGCAAAATACCCCATGGCTTTCACTTCTCCCATTATCTGTCTAGCACAAGCTGTCTTCCTCTCAGCTGTACCAGATTAAGTTCAGCAATAATTAACAGAGCACAGTCAAGTAAGATGTGTGTTTGTGGCAGGTCTGGTAGCGTAGATGTGTGTTTGTGGCAGGTCTGGTAGCGTAGCTCACCCAAGCCTCTGCCAGTTCTGCCAGGGTTTATTCCAGAATCAGGCAGTGTCTGCTGAAAGATGTGTGAGCCCTGACTCACGAGGGTAGAGGTACATGGGAGCACGTCACCGATTCTGTTTGAGGAGAGTAAATGTGAATATCCTCTGTGGAATAATTATTTCAGGCTCATTTTATTATGCTTTTAAAAAAATTCTTCTGTGTTTAATGTATAACTTTAAATAGCCAGTCCCTTGTCATCTTATGTTTTGAAACTCTTGGAAGGGTCAGCGTGAATGTGTGCCAGCTCTGTGTCACTCAGGTCGGTGCTTCAGCAGTGTTTTCGGGCTCATCGCTTAGGATAGATTTTCCAATCATGCAAAGAAGAGAAATGCCCATTTTAATATACTTCTAGAAATACTGTTTTTGTACTCCTTAGATGTTTCAAGGTAAAATATTGTTTGAAAAAAAGTATACTTTCACTGAGAGAAAATACAAAACTCCCTGATGTGTATTGTTTTATTTAAGTTTTTACTAGAATTTATTTTTAATAGCTTTCTTGAATTACTTTTTTAAATTCTTCATGCTTGCCAGATTTTTTATGCTAAGAATAACAGGGCTTCCTAGTTTTATTTTCCTTTGGATATTCATTGTTGTTATTTAATATCTGAAATAATAAATGAAGAAACTGTTAAGTGATGGAAGGTAGAAGTTGCCAATGGCTGTAAAATATTTTCTTTCGCAGAGATTCCGGACATTTTACATGCAAGTAGTCTGAAAACTTTTAGGTAAGTGTCCCTTTTATGTTCCCCTGAAGTTGTATATGAAAGACTTGAGGCATAAGCTTCCTTTTTATGTAGATGTTAGAGATGAAGAAAAATCAGAGCGTTTTTTTTTTTTTATCCATTTTTCTTATTAGACAATGTAATAGTTTTCCACAGTCCCATTTATTTGGAACACCTGTATACTGAAATAAAGATAAAGTGCTCCCCTTGTTTTTTTCAAATATAATTTAGTATTTTAAAGGTATTGCTATTCCTTCTCAGTTCTTTTCCTTTTTTTGAGATAAAGGCACACCCCTGATTCTTCTGCGCCCCCTTGTGGAGGCGATGGGTAATGGGAAGTGAAGAAGGAGCCTTAAGTCAGTCCTAACCTCTTGCTCTGGTGGTCTCTGGTTGTACCCTGTAACCAAGGAGACCACTGCAATTAGAGTTTCAGTTTTTTAGGTTTTGAGCATAGATTCTCTGTCTTTATTTTATTTTCTGTATTTGGGACAGGGTGTACAGGGTCTCACTATATAGATCAGACTTGCAGTGATTCTCCTGTTTTCAGCCTCCCAAGAGCTGGGGTTACAGGCGCGCCCAATCTCCATTGCAGTATCAGTGTGCCCCGGGAGTGGGGGCGGCACAGCAAGCCCCAGGATCGAATTCCCAGCCCCTGCACCTGCCCCAAGAAGGCACTTTAATTTGCTGAGCTATTTGGCCAGCCCTGATTCTCTGTCTTTAAGAGGGCTTCTTATTAATCATTTTAGTCTTCACTGGACCATGTTAAGGGACCTGAGGCTCTTTAATTAAAATTAGACACAATCAAGTACAAAATATATTACTTATTTCTGAAACAAGGCATGTCCTGCCTCTTCCAAATAAAGGCAGAAGTGAGAGAAGAGATGACCATGGTCTCTTAGTATTGCTGGATAATTTGGTTCTCAAAAGTCTTGTTGGTCCGAAAATACTTGTGCATAAATTGTCACAGAACATGCTGAAATTGAACAATTGGACATTTTCTGTTACAAAAATAATGATGATGTGATTACTGAAATTACTGCAGTGTACCATTGTGTGTAAAAAGGAAAACCTTTTCTGACTGTTTTTGGTGGATTTTTGAGGGTGGGACAGTGTCTTCTTTTGAGAGTTCGTGTAGCGCGGAGGAGATGTTCAAGTCAGAGCAGGGAAAGGAGCAGAGCTTTATAGTCATTCCTGCCCAGTATTTTTCTGTTTACTTTTGAAATTTTGAATATGTGGGATTCACCGTGCAGGCTTTGCTGCGTTAGTGCAGATAGAGAGGAATGCAGTGGGCAGAGAAAAGGAGAGCCAGGTTTCTGGGGATGCAGATGTATTAGTTATTTCAAGTACATTTACTGTCTGTTGTAAATTTATAAAGTTGCTACTTTCAGTTGTACAAGTTGACTGACTTCTGCTTTTTCAGTTCAGTTCCTGCCAACACCATATTCTTTTGTTTTGTCTAGAGAATGGGATTTGGATCTGAAGAAATTGCCAAACATTAAAATGAGAAAACTTTGTGCTAATGATGCAGTTGCTAAGAAGCACAAGAAGAAAGCTCAAAATTTAACGATAGACAAAGATTTAGGGCAATTGGAGCTGAAAGGGGAATCAAGTGACTCTGATGAAGCAATGACTCCTGTGGCCTAATTATCCTGACTTGATTTGAAAATCA